CGAGGCGTGGGGTGCGCGACCTCGCCCGCCCGCCCGCCCGGCCCGGCCCCCGCCCCTTGGCTTGCCGCTCCGCCCCCGCGGGGCGTCCCGGGCCGCTCGTCCCTCGGCGGCGGCCGCGCGCGGCCCGGGGTCGCCGTGAGTACTCGCGAGGCGGGTCTATGGGGCGTCCACCATAGGGTCGGCGCGGGGCCGGGCAGCGGGAAGGGTGCGGGCCCGCCCCGCCTGGGAAGGGGATGAAGTGAGGGGCGCTCCTAGGCTTGACAGGCTTGGCCTGCGCCGGGCGTCTGGCGGCGCTGATCTGGCACAGAGCTTCTTCCCCAGGGAGGCAGGTGTGGGTGTCTTTGGGGTGTGCGGGGAAACCTAGAGAGGAGCTGTAAGTGCTCCCCGAGGACGGCCGCGGGGCAGTGTTTCCAGGAGCAGCCGGCTGCTCGGCCCTGCGCGGCTCTTCCCTGCACTCTGTCTAGTGGTCCAGTCCTTCTGGAAGACACGGGAGCGCCGGGCTGGGACGCAGGTGTCTCCTTTGCTAGGACCACCAGGTTGGGGGGGTCAAGCCCAGAGTTCACACGTTGACAGCTGGTGCTTCTTCTACTAGGTGTTAAGATTGTCACACGCGCATGGGCTCGGACAAAAAAGATCCTTTTGACCCAGACTCGAGGCTCACTTACGTGGCTATTCCCATGGAAATGCATGAAATATTCTGTATACTAGTTGCCACCATCCACTGTAAACACTGAGCTTAACCACACTGTTTTCTGGACACGGTTACAGGCCCAACTTCTTTTGAAAGGTTCCCTTTCTTTATTTCATGTTGATAAATCAGATACCTCTTTCTTAATTAGTCAACAGTTCCCTTAGTTACAGCACTATCACATGAAAATTGGATGCAATTAGGACCTCTTAAATGTTCTAATTCCACCATACTCTTAACTTTTATGCAGGTTGTGTGATCTCCTAGGTCTGAATAGTCTATGTAGAACATGAAAGCTTTAAACTAGGTGATTTTTCAGTCTTATTTTCATAAAAATATCTGTGGTTCTGTAAACTCCATGAGCTACCACCTGCCTTTTCTCCACCTTTTCCTTTCCTTTTCGTTTTTTTGGGTTTTTTTTTTTTTTTTTAAGTAGTACTGGGGTTTAAACTTAGAGCCTCATGCTTGCAAAGCAGGTGCTCTACTAGTTGAGCCACAGCACCAGCCCCTGTTTTCACCTTTTAAAAACGTTCCCTGTCTCTGAGGGTATTTACAGTGGAGGGCCAAGTCCAGGTTCCTTTCAGTAAAGCAAGCTGGTTTGAAAAAGCTGGTAATTTCAGAACTGTCTCTTCTTGGGAAAACTCCCCCTGAACTACTTTTCTTTTCTGTGATAGCAGAAACCAAGCAGCAACAGCCCTTGGAGAGATGCTAAGTTTTTCTTGACTTCTACAGTGACAAAGACCTTGAAGAAGTTGGTACTTCTGGCCTACCCTGCCGTCATCCTACCACTCACCCCAAGAAAACCCAGGCTAAATATTAATGCCTCCCTCTCTTTTCCTCTGGGGTCATTCAGATCAGCACTTGACTGTTTATTTTCAAATCTCACACATCCAACCCCCAGATCTTCATATTCTGGTTCTTAGCTGCTCTTGAAGGTGAATGAAGTTTTGCTTATAAAAACCATTTTTGTGTGATTATTGTCTCTGTATAAAAGTATTTAACTTCTTGTATATACCTCCCATTTGGCTTAGGTATACAGCTGAGGGTTCATTGACTAATTCAGTAAATGTGTTTAGAGATTGACAACATGGTGAAAATGGTCAAAGCCTCTGTACGGCTTACATTTGATGCTTGATAAATGTAGTTAGAATGTGGTGAGTGCTGTGGAGGGGAAGGGAGAGGGGATAGAGAGTGCTACTGTGTGTGTTAGGGTGTTGTTACTTTATATAGGATAGTCAAGGTGACCTTTGAGCCAGTGTGGATATCTGTGTGGAAAGCAGTCCAAGAAGGGGAACAGTAGAGACACAGGTTCTGTAGTGGGAATGTGCTTGCTGTGGTTGAAGAACAGCAGGAAGAAAGGGTGATCGTCCTGTCAGTGTGTAGGGATGACTTGCTAGGATCCTCTGTAAGAGCAGCATCTGTTTTTTAACTTTTATTATGGCATGTTTCAACTATACGAAAAAGGTAGGGAGCATAAGAAACCCTCATGCACATCACTCAGCTTCATCAGTAATCAACGTTTTGCCAAATTTATCTATTTTCCCATTTCCTGTATTTTATTTATTTTTGGTCTAGTGGCAATATTTTAAAGCAAATCTGATTCCAGGTCATTTCATCTCTAAGAAATTAAGTTGTAATTTACTTTTTAATTGTTTTGGTGGGTTAGGCAACAGCATTATGAGAGGGCTGCTGTGCAGTTTGCTCTGACATTGTGTCTTATATCTCTAACCTGGATCAGTTATCAGGCTTAAGTTGGCACCTGAGGACAACACACATGCCTGGAACATGCAAGGATCTAGAAGAATGGTTCTCGGATTTCAGCATACAACAGAATAACTTAGAGGGCTTGTTAAAATGCAGATTATTGAGGCCCATTCTTAGAGTTTCTACTTCACCAAGTCTCAGAAGGGGCCTGAGAATTAGTATTTTAAACAGGTTCCTAGACAATACTGATGCTGCAGGCACACCATCCCCATTCAGAACCACTACAACTCAGTAGAATTGTATGTTGAGGTTGGAGTGGGTTACGTGAGGTATATGCAGAGGCAGGAAGGCCTAGAAGAATGGTTCTTAATTTTGTCTTCATAGTAGAATCACTTGGAGAGCATTTAACAGATTTGATGCTTAGGATCTGTTGCCATGAATTGAACTGATTGGTTATGGGGTAGGGCTGGGCCTGCTACTTGTTGAAAGCTCCCCAGGTGATTGCAGTAACACCCATGCTTGCGGCCTGCTGATGTAGAGAGCAACAAGAAAGTGTCTTTAGCCTACTCTTCAGGTAACTTTGTCATTCTCTGCCATTTAAGCCTTCATTGTCTGACATGAGTGGGTTTTTTTCCCCATCCCCACTCTGCTGCATACAGAGGCCTCAGTGGGGCTAAAACTTGCCTGATATAGGGTGGGGACCTTCAGGATTGGAAGCAAGTAGGGTCCAAAACTAGGGATTAGTGTTTTTCTAAGTACTTGTTGGGATCATTGTAACTTTATTTACGGGGTAGATTCCAAGATCACTCCAGGGAATTATTTTGCCATGATATCACAGACCATGGTGACCATAGCGTACTCAGTGTTGTTGAGGATTTTGTGAGTTACAGAATGTTATAGAATGGCATCTAGTGATATTGATGTGTTGGTTATGTTTTTTTGGAGGTGGGGTCTTTATTGTATCCAAGACTAGCCTTGAACTTGTGATTCTCCTGCCTCAGCCTCCCTGGTGCTGGAATTACAGATGTGTGCCACCATATGTCTTAAAAGAGATAATGGGCCAAATGGGAAAGAATGGCTAGGAGTAGAGTCCAGAAAGAGTCTGGTTCTGGTTCTTAACTCTGGTGATGATTGATACAGTGATGAATGTTCCAAAATGAACTGATTAGACAGACTAGCATAAGCAAGTGGTCCTGCCAGTCTCATTTTTGGCTTTAGGTTTGTTGCAGTGTAATGAACTAGGACAGGAATTTGCTCCAATCCCAACTCTCTAGTTTGAATGTAATGGCAATATCTTATGGTTGTGTAGTACTTTTGTGGTTGATTATCTTTAAAGAACTCCATGTACAAGTGGGTGTGTATGCATGTGGGTTTGTCACTTTATATGCAAGTGTCTGTATATATAGATAGTAAAAGTGTGCCTGGGCGTACACCACCCAGCTATTAAGTGGTGATGAAACTAACTGTTATCTGCTTCCCACAGGACGGTGACTTGTTGCCACCACCACAGAGCTTGGCTTCCCGAGCAGATCTCCAGTTGCCCTTCGTGTCACCCCTCTCTTGTTTCCCGTTGTAGCCTCCTAAATGCCCATCTTGTTGGCTTGGGTTCAGCTGGTGGTATGGAGGGCGCTGCCCAGCACTGACCTGGGAGTGTGTGTGACCCAGTGACCCAATGGTAAGAACTGACTTTCCACCTATCCCGACTGACAGTCTGAGGACTAGATGGGGACAGAGTGCAGACCTCACCTTTTCCCAGTGTTTTCCCTCTAGAGCTTTTGGAAGGTAGAGTGGCTATTTGAAGTTAAAAGAAGGAGAAAAAGCATGGAAACAGTATTGATTTGGTGGGGAGGTGTGTGACTGGGTTTTTATGGGAAGGAAGGGAAGAATTAAATACTTTAAGGGACAAAAAGGGAATGATGAGACAGGAGCTTAGGTGTGCTGGAATTCGTCTTTGGTAATGATCCTAGAGGAGGCTAGTTTATACCAGAACCCAGATATGCTTAGGAATTAACCCTGACATTGAAGAACCACTATACTCAGCGTATTTGTCGAGATAGGCCCTCTGGTAACTTTTTGCCTGGACTGGCCTCAAACTGTGATCCTCACAATCTCCACCTCCCAACTAAGCCACCGTGCCTGGTTGTGGCATTGAAGTCTTTTGTGTCCTTCCCTCACTGGCTGTTAGAGCCTCAGTCATTATACCAAATCTTAAGAAGGTCAAGATTTGCTGTTTTCCTTTGTCCTACCAAGTCAGAGCTAAAGCATGGGTATGGTCAGATTCAGGAAGTGACTGAGACTCCGAAAAGGTACAATAAAAGATATGAAGGGATTAAGGTCTCAGTTATTCTGTCCCAAGGAACTTTTTCCTATTATTTGTGTGCATCTGTTCCCCATCTTACCAAGCCCCTCATCCCATTCTATGAACTAATGGACCTAATGAAGGATTGCATCCTCCTTTGTTACCACTAGGACATCAAAAGCCAGTTCTGGAATGATGATGATTCAGAAGGAGAAAATGAATCAGAGGAGTTTCTCTATGGAGTTCAGGTGAGGTTATATCCTCCCCCAGCTCAGTGTGGGGTGGTCTGGGTTTCAGTCTTTGGATACATCAAGAGTTAAAGTCTTGGAACAGAGTCAAGACTAGGTTGTTGTGTGCGTGTGTTCTAACCATGGTCTCATCAGAGCTGACTCAGTGTCCTTACTCTTGCCCGGGACTCATACCTGTCCCAGAGTAAACTACATCTTTTATATGTGGAGGCTGCTATATATAGTTTATTAGCTAGAAATCATTTTCTAACGTCTTTCACTAGCCAGTGAGGCTCACTTCATTACTTAGGGTCAAATCTTAAAAGATTACTCTTCTTGCATGACTTACAAACATTGCTATCCAGAGCACAACCCTGAGCAAAAATGCTCAGACTGTCAGAATGCTCTTCAGGTAGAACCTTTCTGAGTTTTCATAGAAGGTCAAGGTCTGAGAGGAAAAGCTGGAGATTTGAGGATGTGAACTCCTCAAGTGAAGCCTACATTTGACCTGCTGAAACTGTCTTATAGTGGTGATGGGAGGGAGACTTGCCAATGATATCCATAGCTAGGGCCACCACCAAGAGTGGCTCTCACCCCCCGGTCCTGCTGCTGTATGGTTTCTCCTGTTCATCTCTTTCCCCCTTCTGTATGTATTCCTACCCCTCCTGCTACCATTGTTTTTGCTGCTGTCTTCAGGGGAGCTGTGCGGCTGACCTGTATCGACACCCACAGCTTGATGCAGACATTGAAGCCGTGAAGGAGATCTACAGTGAGAACTCTGTATCTATCAGGTGGGACTCCACTTTAGGGATGGAGGGGAGCAAGCCAGTTTCTAAGTTGTTACAATGCTAGAGGTTTTTCTTTTGATGGAGTGATGGGATTAAATTATGAGCTGACTGATAGAAATTGTTCAGAATACTTCAGCTTGCCTGACAAAAGATGCAAGGAAGTAAAACTACTCTAATTAGAGGTTCCCTGTTATCCTAAACCCCTCTAGAACAATAATTTCACCTTTGAAGTAAGAAGGGCTCCTGCCCTGGAGAAGGCCTGATGATGTAAGTGGCTTGAGGCAGATAGCTAAGATCCTAAGTATAGAACCACCTTCTTCCATGCTTTCCTCTCCCTGTCCCAGGCTCAGTCCTTCCCCCACCTCAGTCTCTGTTCCTGTTCTCCCTTAATGAGTCTCACCTGTGGTTGCCTGTGTCTCTGTAGAGAATATGGAACTATCGATGACGTGGACATTGACCTCCACATCAACATCAGCTTCCTCGATGTAAGTGGTGCTAGTACCTGCCAACAACATGTGTAGCTGGACTTGTGGATTTTGTCATGTAGGCCAGGAGTCTTGTTCCTGAGTGCTGTATTTGGAGCACATGTTCTTCATCTCTGTCTTTCCTAGACCATCAGCAGACAGTGGTGTGTACTGTCATGTGCATGTGTGTGTCATATAGGGGAAACTTTAAGTTCATACATCCCTGTTGTAAACTGGAAACTATCCCTTGTTCTTCTAGGAGGAAGTATCTACAGCCTGGAAGGTCCTGCGGACAGAACCTATTGTGTTGAGGTTACGGTTTTCTCTCTCCCAGTACCTTGATGGACCAGGTAAAGGCAGTGACCCTGGGCAAGTGGGTGTTCTGAGTATGTCTCCAGAAAGCCCTAAGTTAACTGATGTGTAGAGAAAAACCACGAATAAGAACCTTGGACTTGGACTATAGGCCATTGGAGGGGCTTTTTGTTTTTGTCATTGGTGTCTTCATCCCCAGATAGCTATCTCCAAAGGCCTTCTTGATTAATGAAATTGTTTTCTCTAGTTGCCAGATAACATTTCTTTCTTCCCTCTCCCCTCAATTTCTTACTGAAGATATTTGAAATTGAATAGACAACTTCCAGTATGTACCCTTTTATTCAGAAGTTTTTCCTCTTTCACTATTGTTTAGAGTATCTAGCAGTTACTGTTTTTTACACTCTGAGGAAGCTATTGCACTATACCATGAGTCTGGAGTTCCTGAGGATAGAGGTCTGTATATATTAGGAACTTTCTTTTCTCTTTGCAGAACCATCAATTGAGGTTTTCCAGCCATCGAATAAGGAAGGGTTTGGGCTGGGTCTTCAGTTGAAAAAGTAAGAACTTTGATCTTTTCTAGTCCTGGACATGGAGGGAAAGAATGATGGGTATATGTGTTAGTTAGCTTTTCATTACTGTAACAAAAGACCTGAGATATCAACTCAGTGGGATAAAAAGGCTTATTTTGGCTTACAGTTTAGAGGTTTCAGTCCATGGTCATTTAGTTATGGTGCTTTGGGTCTTTGGCAGCACAGTGCATTATGGCAGGAGCATATGGTGAAGGCTGTTCATCTTGTGGTAGGGGAGCAAAAAAAAGAGGAAGAAGAGGAAGGACTAGGTAACAATATCACCTTTAAGTGACCTAACTTTGTCACACTAAGTCCCACCTCCTAAAGGTTCCACTACCTTCCAGTAGTGCCACAGTCTTGTACCCTTGAGCCTTTGGGGGGACATTTAGGATCCAAACTATTAGCTACACATGTGGATGAACAGGCAGAGCTTTGGATGGAATATTTCCTTCCAAAAACGTCTGATATATGTCTAGGAAAAGCTAACGTAAATTTGAGGAGCAAAATTTATGGTTGTGGAGGGGAGCTGGTGGTTCTCAGTCTCAGAGCTTGAGGCTTCCTGGAAGTTTAGCACTTACAGGAAAGTACAGGGCTGGCAGAGTGACTCATGCCTAGTATGAGGCCCTGAGTTCAAACCCCAGTACCACCAAAAGTAAAAAGGAAAGTACAGTTGGGTGGCTACACCCGTAATCCTAGTTACTTGGGAGGCAGAAATCAGGAGGATTGCAGTTTGAAACCATATCTCAAAATAACAAAAAAAAGGGCTGGTGGAGTGGTTAAAGTGGTAGAGCCTACCTAACAAAGCATAAGGACCTGAATTCAACTCCTAGTACTACCAAAAAAAAAACCAAACAAAGAAACCAAAAACCTACAGCCCTAGAATCGGGGCTGTTTGTGTTTCTTGTATGGTTTCTTTAGAGGAGCTCTAGGAACCCAGACCATTTTGGTTTATTGAATGTTGAGAATTTTGTGCTAAGTATGTGGTATACAAAGAGAAATAATGTCATGTTCTGTATAGAGTCCAGTACAAGTCTTTTTAAATCATTTTTACATTTACTCACGTGTATACATTGTTTGGGCCATCAACCCCCTGCACTCCCCCCACCCCCAAGTACAGGTCTTAACAATGAATATGTAAGAGTTAGAAAGAACACAGAGGAAGGAGTGACTCAGTCTGGTGGCAGGGGCGGGCTGTGAGTGAAAGAATGAAAAGTAGATGATTAATGATTTTCAGGCATGGATAATTGTTATCCATGTAGACAGACTCAGAGAGTGGATAACATTTATAGGACACAGTCACATGAAGTAGCATGTGTATAGAGCTTGAAGTCATTAAATACTGCTGGCAAAATGCAAGGTAAGAGTGATAGGAACCAAAGCCAGAGAGTAGGGAAAGGTTAAAATCAAGAAAGGGTCTTGGGCTTTTGTCTTTTGGCAGTGGGAATGTTGAAAGGTTGTAAGCAAAGGAAGGGCATGGTCAGATATAATTTTAGAAAAATTATTCTTTTTTTTTGGCTGTACTGTTGGTTTGAACTCAGGGCCTGCACCTTGAGCCACTCCACCAGCCCTGTTTTTTTGTGTTGGGTTTTTTTTTTTTTTTTTTGAGATAGGGTCTCATGAACTATTTGCCTGGGCTGACTTGGAACCATGATCCTCCCGATCTCTGCCTCGTGAGTAGCTAGGATTACAGGTGTGAGCCACCAGTGCTTTAGCATTAGACAAAGTGTATAGGCAGGGATGAGACAAAAGACCAGAACAAAAGCCAGGCAGCGGTGGCTCACATCTGTAATCCTAGCTAGGCAGAGATCTTGAGGATCGTGGTTCAAAGCCAGCCCAGGCAAATAGTTCTTAAGACCCTATATCGAAAAACCCTTCACAAGAAAGGGCTGGTGGAATGGCTGAAGGTGGAGGCCCTGAGTTCAAGCCCAGTACCGCAAAATAAAAAAAAAAAAAAAAAAAGACTAGAACAAGTTTAGTAGGAGGCTTTTGTGTACCTCTAGACATGAGATGAAAACCTGAGCCTTTAGCAGATGTTGATTGTTAGTGAGAATGGAGATGAGAGGTTAGAAAGATTTGTGGGATATAAAGATTAACATTTGAAGACTGATTTGGCTTTGTTGTATATAGTCACAGAACCAGGGAATAGTGAAAAATTACCTCTCGGTTTCTAGCCTGGATTGTAGGTAAATTGTTATACTAACAATTTAAATGAGGATATAAGAAGAGGAGCAGGTTTACAGGATAAGAATAGATCATTAGTTCTATTTTAGACATGTTGTTTAAAGGTAACGTTGGATATGCAGATGGAGATGCTTGGTATAACACAGTATGTCAGTTTGGAACTTTCAGGAGAGGCTAGGATTGAAGATAAGCATCAGTATGTAGGTGGAAATTATGACCAGAGAATGAGATTGCTAAGCACAGCATGATAGGTTGAAAAGAAAATAGAATCAAGAGCAAAATACCTTTTAACACTCAGACAAAAACCCCAAGAAAACAACAGAGGAAGCAGAAACACTGCAGGGTAGGTCAGAGAAGTTGGAGAAGGATAGAATTAAAATTAAAGACAAGCTAGGTGAGCTTCTTTAAGGGGGGCCAGATGCCAGAGAAGATAAAAGAACTCAGGAGTTTCTGGTGAGTTTAGCAGTAAGATAACAGTTTTAGTAGAGTGGTAAAGGTAGAAACCATAATACAGAAAGTTGAGAAGTGAGTGGTTGGCAGCAAAGTAGAAAACAGTTAAGTATAAATTGAGAAATTTATGTGAAGATAGAAGGGGAAGTTTGTGAGGTAGCTAGACTGAGGTGTAGAAGGTTGAAATCTTTTTTGTAGACTTTGATAGGAGAGGGGGATAATTGGTAGGCTACAGTCCCTAAAGAGGCAAGTAGAGGCTAAGATAGAACCCAAATAGAGGACACAGTCTTGAACATGAGGGCCCCCTTGTCCCTAGAGAATGGAGAGATCAGGTTAGGGTGGAAATTGAAATGAATTTTGTAGTAGGGTTAGAAAATTAAGGGAACTGACACCTGATGACTTTCTCTATAAGAAGGAAAAGTAGACCAGGCAAAATAGGACACGCTTGTAATCCCAGCTATGTACCTGTAATCCCTGGGAGGATTGAGGTCTAAAAATAGCCCCAGGCAAAAGCTTGAGACCCAGCTAGGGGGTGTGGCTCAATGGTAAAATACCTGTCTTACAATTGCAAGGTCCTGAGTTCAAGCCCCAGTACCAGCATAAAAGAAAAGTAGAAAATGGAAAACAGGTTGTTGGGTTTAGCTGGTTAGGAGTTTGAAGAAGCTGGTGAGGACTTAGAATAATATTGTAGAGTACTGCTAAAGAGAATTAGTCAAGGACAAGTGAAAGGACTGACAAGTTGGGAGTCGGAAACCGTGAATTTGGGGATGTAATTTTGCACCTAACAGAGTCAGCACCTGTCCTTTTCTACTCATAAGGCAGAGTGTGGTGCTCACCTTCACCCTACTGCCTCAGTATAGTCATCCATGGCAGTCAGTCTCAGGTTTCATAGCCTTTAAGGTGCACCTTTGAAATCTCCAGAATTTTTCTGGCCTATTGATGAGGCAGGGGGAGTGGGTATTTACCCTTAAAGTAAAAAAGGTCCTAAGGTTTCCATAAGCTAAGTTCATATCAGAGGGTCTTCAGACACATTCCCCTACCACAGCCAGCTTTGCAGTCCTTGAGTCTGAATTTTACACGAGTTGCCTCTCTCAATCCTTATTTCTTGACCTACTCCTCTGCCTGATCTTGCCTAAGCCTGTTCTCTTTGATCCCTCAGGATCCTGGGTATGTTTACATCCCAACAATGGAAACATCTGAGCAACGATTTCTTGAAGACCCAGCAGGAGAAGAGGCACAGTTGGTTCAAGGCAAGTGGTACCATCAAGAAGTTCCGAGCTGGTCTCAGCATCTTCTCACCAATCCCCAAGTAAGAACTGATCATCTCTAACCTCTTGAATGCCTCAGTTAATCCTGTCTGTCCTCACCTTGGGTCCTCTATATTTGGTAACTACAACTGCTGATACCACTCACATGGTCCTGTTGTCTTTGTGTCTACTTACTCTTATACGCCTGACCCAATGTTCATACCTCATTCTTCAGGCAATCCACAACACCTAGCTCGTCATATATTATGTATGCTGATCTTTCCATTTTACGCTCTTTGGCTCTCATCCATAGTCCCTGTCCTAAGCAGGCAGAGTACGAGAACAGGCACCAACTCCTTTGATCTTACATAAGGATACATAGATTTATTTTCTAGCTTCTGGAAATATTGCTCCATTCTTTGGTCTAGGTCTACATTATTACCTCCTGCTGCCTTCCTGACTTCTAAAGGCAGACACAGATCTAGATCTGTAACAGCTAAGCACCGCTATTGGCAGTCAACAGTAGGCTCCTTAGGACATGACTACTTCTTGCCTATTATAGTGTTTAACACTTAATTCTTCTCTCCCACAGAAAAAGTAAATGAACCAGGTATCCTTTCCAAGAGATTGTTTCATCCTGTCCTCAGTGCCATAAAAACTTAGGCTCTGCCTCTGCCTTCCCTCCATGTCCCTATCTGAATGACATTAAAATCAGTTGTGTGACCTACCTTTTTTGAACAGTGTTTAAGATCCAATAGAATGTTCCTCAGATTTGAGTTTGTCTTTGCCTTAGATTTTTGACCTAGAACTTAATTATTCCCAATCTGTGGTTGCATCACTTCTCTTTGCTCTCTCCCCCAGGTCTCCCAGTTTCCCTATCATACAGGACTCCATGCTCAAAGGCAAACTGGGTGTACCAGAGCTTCGAGTTGGGCGCCTCATGAACCGTTCCATCTCCTGCACCATGAAGAACCCCAAAGTAGAGGTGTTTGGCTACCCTCCCAGCCCCCAGGCAGGTCTCCTGTGCCCCCAGCACGTGGGCCTCCCTCCCCCAGCACGGACCTCTCCTTTGGTACATGGGCTGGGGAGAGATTGACTTGGGCATCAGGAGGGTGGGAGTGGAAATGTGGAAGAAGAGCTTTTTAAAATGGGGTGGAGGTTTGGTTGTCCAGGCATCACAAGTCACACCTGGGCATGTACCACGAGTGGATAGAAGGGAGCACATTTTTGATAGTGAAAGCTTATATCCAAACTGTCTGGCAGGTTTGTCTGGTTGTAGGCTGTGAAGCAGAGTCTGCAGATGGGCATGCCATGGAGAAGAATGTATGAGAAGTAATGTATGATTTTATTAGGTGTGGTTAGTACTTGGTAGTCATCTTCTGTGCTAAACTATTCCATTTACTTTGAAGAGGGTTAGGACTGGTGAACACTTTTCCAGAACCTTTGGCAAAAATGTCTAAAGATCTTTTCTCCAGTTTTGGGATTACATAGGCTAATCTGAGCTGGGCTTAGCTAATTTAAGAGATTGCAAGGTGAGGGGTGTAAGTGAGGTCTTTCTAGGCCCTGCTTCACAGGAGGCTCATGGTGCCTGTCTTGTAATCCCTCCAGGTCAGTGGTCACTGCAAGAACATCCCCACTCTGGAGTATGGATTCCTTGTCCAGGTAATCAAGTTCAAAGTGTCATTCCAAAGCTCCTCCCTGTTAACTGACCTATCCGATCCCCCAAGGGCTTCCAGGTCCTCAGTCAGTTAAACGTTTCCTTAGTTGCTTTGCTCTCAGAACTGTACTAAGTAGAGAGTGGCTAAGAGAAAAGAAGACACAGTGCCCATCCTTATGAAGTTGGAACTTTGGGGAGGACTTTTAGGCCACTTAGGATCAAGTGCAAATGAGGCACTGCTTTTAAGTATATGGGTGTCGAGATGAGGGTGGAGTTGACACTAACTTCCTTGTGGTTCGAGTATCTCTTGCTCAAGTGGTCTTCAGTTTTCCTCACAGAGCTCTGTCACTGCTCAGTCCATACTGGTCACTTGCTTCTTTTAAAAATCTCTCTATTCCCTTGATGAGCTTTTGCTCATCAAAGAGCATCGCTTTTACTTTGTTCCTGTTATTTGCTCCACTGGCCTTCCTCCCCATATCTGCCTATTGTAATCAAGGCTCAGATGCTGTCTTTTCCATAAAATCTCCATTATTCCAACTACATTGTTAGGACGGAGGACATAGCTCAAGAGGTAGAGCGCCTGCCTAGTGTGCGTGAGGCCCTGACTTCAAACTGCAGTACCTCCATAAAAATTAAAAATTTATCATAGATGTGATCTCTTCTCTGAGTCCTTTTTGATTTATGTGGTATCTATGTGTAATACTATATTCTGCCTTGGCTTGTAACCAATTTGTATACATGCCAGATCTACCCTGTTGGAGTTCAGCATCTGAAAACAAAAGACAATCTTCAATGTTGTTGCTTAGTCAAGGTCGCCTTTCACAAAGCTGGGTATATAGTAGTCACTCAATAAGTCTGCACTAAGTGTGTGAATAAAACTCCTCGTATGTCCCATTACTAGCAATAAACCACAGTAAGGCAATGTCGGAAAAAAACAAAACAAAACTACCGGGTATTGCTGCATGAGCTCTAAATTTATGCCATCTTCTCAGCACAGAATTGTGTCTGTGGTTTTGGCCAGTAGACTGGCTAATTGTTCTAGGTAATTAAATGACTTCACCCCCTCTCCCTCTACCATCACTTCTTGGACTGAATACTCACCTATCCTAAAGGGACGGCTTATGATTACTAAAACTATTGTTTATGCTTATAAGATACTTTCATGGACATCATCTTATTTCTTGCAATACCCCTATGAGGTAAATAATGTCCTACTTCATAAATGAAGAAACCAAGGCTCAGGTTAAATGACTTGCCCACAGTTATTTGGAACAGTAATAGAGGTGGAATGTTAACCCAAGACTTGTAAACCAAAGGCCATGGCTAGTGTTATTTTTACAATATTATTTGGACTTAACTTTGCAGTCAGGCCATCAGCTTAAGTGCAGGCCCAAGAAGCTTAAATTATTTCCTGCATCTAAAAAAAGAAAAAACGGTCTTATATATGTGTCTGTACTTCCAAAAGATGTACAGTGTGTTCTCCCTTCAGATCATGAAGTATGCAGAGCAGAGGATCCCAACACTAAATGAGTACTGTGTGGTGTGTGATGAGCAGCACGTCTTCCAGAACGGTTCCATGCTCAAGGTATAGGCCCTACTTTGTGACCCTCTTCCTTGGTCAAGGCCTTTCACCTCTCATTGCTCCTTTTTTCATGGGCCTATGCTAAAGGAAGAATTCTGTCCACAGTCCATGAGATTCTAGAAATAATGATTTTTCCTAAGGTAATAAATCTCTGCAGTCCTGTTTGGAGAGATGAGGATTTGAGAATACTTTTGAGGACATAGTCCACACACAACATTTAAAACAAGGATCAGGGGTTGACCAAGATGATTGGTTATGATACTGTGCTCAGTACTCCTAGGGTTGTGTGGGTAGACAGACACTTATCTATAAATCACAATATATGTTAAGTGTGTATAAGAGATTTGAGCAGTATTGTGGAAACTCAGAAAAGAGAGCATCTGACTACCTAAAAGGTTAGGGAAGGCTGCAAAGGTAGACAGCATAACTCTCAAACCTATTAGTAAGGCATTTTAATTAAAGCTTTGCCTATTTTCATGGTTTTTTTCCTGACATAGCCCCAAATTCCTATCTTATTCTAGAGTTGTGTAAGGTCAGTTCTGTCTCTTTACATCTTCTTAATACACAATCCATACCTCCACCATCTGCTTAATATGTCCATCCAGCCGGCTGTCTGTACTCGTGAACTATGCGTCTTCTCCTTCTACACCCTGGGAGTCATGTCTGGAGCTGCAGAGGAGGTGGCTACTGGAGCAGAGGTATGGGAGAGGAAAAGTAGTGGGGGTATTAGGACCAAGACAGGCAGGGGAACCCAGCAATTTCATTCCTTGGAATTTAACCTCCAAAAAAATGCTTTGATGTGTAAGGATGTTCACTAAAGTATAGGGTTTAATAAAACAAAAAATAGATACCACCCAAAAGTTGGGGATCCAGTTAAGGAAATGATGATATGTCCATATCATATCATATTATTATTTATGGATATAAAAGTGTAATGTGCAGTTATATAAAAAAGCAAATACAAAGCCAGGCACAGTAGTTCGCACCTGTAGTGCTAGCTGCTCGGGAGTCTAAGGCCACCCACGGATCGCTTGAGCCCAGGCGTTGCATGTGCTTAGTATGCATGAGGCCCAGGGTTTAACCCCCAGCACCAAGAGAAAGAAGGAAGAAAATAGCAAAAATATCTGGAAGGATATAAGTAAATATGTCAGTAGTTACTTGTGAGAAGATGAGATTTGCTTGGGAGGCAGGGAGTGGTATTTATCTTTTCTTTAATCATTTTCCTGTTACTTGAATTTTTATAATTTTGTGTTTTCTAATTTAAAAATCCATAAACTCATTTGCTTTAGAAAAGAATAGCGGAAGAAATGCTGAATCCCATGTGATCTTCAGAACTAAGTGGTCATTTTCTGCTCCATTTCTTTCCTTTCCCCTAAGGTGGTGGACCTGCTGGTGGCCATGTGTAGGGCAGCTTTGGAGTCCCCTAGAAAGAGCATCATCTTTGAGCCTTACCCCTCTGTGGTGGACCCCACTGATCCCAAGACTCTGGCCTTTAACCCTAAGGTATAGTTGTTCAGGAAGAAGGTCAGGGATAAGGAACAGATATGGTAAGAGACAGTGGGAGAGTTGGTTGTCATTCTAGTGTACAACAGTTTAGAATAAGGCACAGAAGAAATGGAGCACTCGTTTATTAGGAACTCTTAAACCCTGAGATTTGGCTGTTTCAGTGAGTAAGTAGCCGGGTTTGTCAGGAAAAGGGTGAGGGTGGGGGAATTACTATTACTTACGTCACGATAGGCTTGGGGAGTCAGGCAGAACTGGATTCCATCTGAGGTCCTGCTGCTGAGGGAAGTCACTTAACCCTTCTGAACTTCCAATTTCCTTACCTGTTAAAGCGCGTAAATTAAATATTTACTTTGGGGATTGTCATAAAAATGAGAGATAATGTATTACCCCACTAGGGTTCTTGAGAGAAACAGAATAGGAGATAACACACACACACATGAACGAATGAAATAGGAAGAGGTTTATTATAAAAAATTGCCCTTGTGATTATGGAGGCTGAGAAGTCCTAACATCTGTACTCAAATGTCAGTCTCTGGAGACCTGGGAGAACCTATAGTATATGAAGTTCCAGTCCAGAGACCTGAGAATCAGGACGTCCAGTAGTTGAAGTCTCAGTCTGAAAGCCAGCAGGCTCAAGATCCAAGAAGAGCCAATTTTGTAGTTCAAATCCACACACTGGAAAACAGATACCCCAACATAGGAGGAATCCCTTTTACTCAAGGGCCGAGGTGGGGAGTGTTAGACTTTTTGTTCTATGGGTTTTCCCACATTAGGGAAGACAATCTGCTTCACTCAGTCTACTAATTCAAATGTTAATCTGAATCCAAAACACCCTTTCAGACAAACCCAGAAATCATGTTTGACCAAATGCCTAAGTACCCCCATGGGCTGGCCAAGTTGACTCCTAAGATCAGCTGTCACACTTACACAGCATAGTGCCTCATTGTTAGCTGTCAGTACTGTATGTGAGGCACATACTAGCTTCTTTACATATATTATTTAATCCTCAGAGCATCTCTGTGAGGGTGGTCACAAAATTGTTATTTTCATTTGCAAGCTCAGTGGTACAGCACTTGCTGAGCCTGTGAAGTCCTGGGTTCAGTCTCTAGCACCACAAACAAAACAAAACACCTTGTCATTTGCTATCAGATAGTAAGGTTCTAAGATGGTAAGTAACTTATATCCTGTTAATTCCAGCTGATAAGAGAACTAGCCATCCCAGAACTGTCTGATATTAAATCTGTGTTCACTTGATGGCCCACTACTCAGTTTCCTTGAACCTAGTCTTATGTACACCTGGCCCTTCTTTTCATCACATCTTTCTCTCTCCTCTACTTTTCTTCATCTGTTTCTTCTCTTCCCATTGATTCTCCACAGAAGAAGAATTACGAGCGGCTTCAGAAAGCTCTGGATAGTGTGATGTCCATCCGGGAGATGACCCAGGTATTCTGCCCTCTGTCTGTTCCCTGCCCTCTGCCTGCCCGTCTTAAGTGCCCTGTTCTGCTTATAATTCATAGGAGTGGGTGAAGATTTAGCGAAGTTGCCCACATTCTTGTATCTTCTTTAGTATTCCCTCTGTAACCCTCCCAATTCCTGTTCTCTGTTTTATTAGGTCTTCCTCTATTCACTTCTAGTGTTTCTTTCAATCTTTGCTGCTAATTCTTCCACAAGTTGCTCATATTTAATGTTTTTCCGTAATTCTTAGGGAATTAGACAAGTGAGGGCAAGACTTCTGCCCAAGGTTGGGAGGGTGAGGAGGGGGCTTGGAGGTAAGGAACTAGACCCAGGGCCTGCATCTTGTGTCCTTCCAGGGGTGGGGCAGCCCTGTGGAGCAGTGACCATCCTTTGACTCAAGGCTGGCCCTCACCAGATTTCCCCACCCCTCGTCTGCAGTCTCTGCATGAATAGACATTCATTTGTACTCACATTTACAGGTGGGCCTCTTCTCAGCAAATCCTATATATCACAATGCAGATTAACACAGAAGGTACACCTAGGAGGGATGATTACTTGTCAGAAGGACTGCCTTATGTAAAGATTTACCACAGGACTCCTTAGCCTAATCTTTTTGGGACATTGATTTTATTTATTTTTTGATTTACAATCAACTTTTTAGGACTGTAGGAATTGCATAAAATGAGGGAGACCCACCTGCATGTTGTTTTGTAAGCATCTTCAGTCATTTTCATATTTATTTAAGAGTCTTCCCAACCTCACTGGGGCTCCTTAAGGGTGGGAACCCCATGTCCTTTGTCCTCCATGTGGCTTTTGATGACTATGTTGCCCTGGGCCCTAATAGGCTGTGGAAAGTGGGAGGGCTCCCACCCCTCCTGGGAGACAATCTTATGGCCATTGTCTTGCAGGGCTCCTATTTGGAAATCAAGAAGCAGATGGACAAGCTGGATCCTTTGGCTCATCCTCTCCTGCAGTGGTATGGATGCAATGGCTCAGCCTTCCTGGGGTGATGTGAAGGGAGGAAGGCATGGGACATGGAGCCTACACCTTCTCTTAGACATAATTGCTACTTTTCTTGGAGTTCTACTGTTGATATACCTTGCTTTGACAAGAACTCAGATCTTAAAAAGAGCTCACAAATTCTGACATGATTTCTCAAGTTCTCTTTTAAGTATTCCATGTTTTGTGAAAGGTTTGTTTTCTCACTTATTTTTTGGGTGGGACTGGGGTTTGAACTCAGGGCTTCATAGTTGCAAAGCAGGCCCTGTAACATTTGAGCCACACCTCCAGTTCATTTTGTTCTAGTTTTTTTTGGAGATGGGGTCTTGCAAACTATTTGCCCAGGCTGGCCTTGAACCACAATTCTCCTGATCTTAGCTTCCCAAGTGGCTAGGATTACAGAAGTGAGCCACCAGCACCGGCAATGTTTTCTTTTTTAATTCTTTAATAAATAAAAATTACCTGTATTTGTCACGTACAACATGATATTTTGAAATATGCATACATTGTAGAGTGGCTCATTAGAGCTAATTGACATAATCATTACCTTACATAGTTATTTTTTTGTGGTGAGAATACTTAAAATCTATTCTCAGCAGTTTTCAAGAACACAATGCAGGGCCAGAAGTGTGGGTCAAGTGATAGAGCATTTACCTACCAAGTGCAAGGCCCTGAGTTCAAATCCCAGTACTGCCCTCTTTCCCCAAGAAAGAATGCAATATATTGTTACAAACTAGTCACCACCAGTAGATTTTGAGTATCTCTTCTGTGTAGGAATTAGCACTGTTGATTTCAGCTGTTTTCTGTGCATCTAGAGCGATCCATCTCTCTCTGGTATCTCCTTTCCCTGTCTCAGCTCCCTTCCCTGGAGCTATAGAATGTCTACAGCTAAGGCACTGTTACTCTTTTTCTAGCAAAGTCTTTGGGTATTCCTTACTGCCTTTCCTCATGACCTCCCTTCCTGATCTTGATTTCTGTTCTGTTCTCCTGACAGCTTTCTCCTAGCTTGCATCCCTGTTCCTTGTCAGCCTTTGATTGACATCAGTACTTCTAAGTGCAAAAGCTTCCTTCCACCCCCACCCTTTTCTTTTCATCCATTGTTTAACTCTCCAGTATCCAGGTTATCTCTGGTCAGTAGCTTCCCTTTTAAATTTTTATACGGAAGCAGTATCACTCAGAAGGACTATTCCTGTATTACTGGACATATCTCATAACTCAGCACAGGAATCTTGCTTATTCTCCTAAGATGAGAGGAAGGTTGCTTGTTCCAGAGAGCCTAACCATACACTTACTCTATCCCTTTCCTTTTTCCTCTGTTTGTTCCCAGGATCATCTCTAGCAACAGGTCACACATTGTCAAACTACCTCTCAGCAGGGTAAGTGATCATTCTCCCTCTAAACCCTTCAAATTTCTGGTGAGAGGCAGGGAGGGGTTCTATACCAGCTAACCATATTGGTCCTATATCTGCCTAGTTGGCTCTGTCCATCAGCATAATCTTTGGGCCTAAGCATTTTTCACTTGTTTGGGGGCAGTGCAAGCCTGATTTATACTCCATCCCCAACCCTTTCCCTCCCTGATCTCAATTTCTACTCTGTTTTCCTGACCCCACCCCCACCCTGGGCAGCAGCTGAAGTTCATGCACACCTCACACCAGTTCCTCCTGCTGAGCAGCCCTCCTGCCAAGGAGGCTCGGTTCCGGACCGCCAAGAAGCTCTATGGCAGCACTTTTGCCTTCCAGTGAGGAGGGTGGAGGCTGGGCAGCGGTGGGCAGGGGTGGCACTGTGGGGCCCTTGAAGTATATGAGTTTGTGTTACCCACCCACTAGTCAGCACATATTTTTATTAAATGCTATTGTGTTAGATACTGTAGAGGATGAAAAGATACATACCATATGGTCTTTATTCTCAAGCTGTTTATGATGTAGTTGAAGAGAAACAGTGTTACAAGTGAAAAGATGTGGCAAAGGAACAGATTGGAAGGAAATCCACAATTTATCCCTAAGTGTAGGAGACTGGAATGTGACTCAGTGGCAGAGCACACTTGCCTAGCATGCAAGAGGCCCAGCATTCCATCCCTAGCACCATAAGAACAGTAACAACTAAAAACCCTAATTGTAGGAGGTGAGAGAGAAGGAAAGGTATGAAAGGTAATTTAAGGGAGTGTTAGTATCCTCTTCTTAAAATACAATGTGAAGTCTGCACTGGAAACCATATTTGGGATCAGCAATAAGCTTGTTCAACTTGAGAATTTGAAATATTAGGTAATAAGCAAATGAAAATATTGAACCAGCCATTTGAGGTTTTTGGATGTGATTAGTTAAAGAGCAGAAAGAAACTAGGACTAGAAATGAATATACACACACACACATCCCTTGCATGCTTGTGAATATGTCCACATGCATGTCCGTCATCAGGTGCATCTGCGCCCATCTTCATGTCCTCTGTGGGTAAAAATGGGTGGTAGTGGCAATCTTGGAGGTGCCCCCTGGGATCCTCATGCCATGAAGAGACATGTGCTGTACCCTGCTTTACAGTGGGTCCCACATTGAGAACTGGCATTCGATCCTGCGCAATGGGCTGGTCAATGCATCCTACACCAAACTGCAGGTGAGGCTGTGCACCCTTCTCCTTTCTCTCCACCACCTTCCTGCCTGACTCATTTTTGGGAAAGGCTGCTGTTAAAGTACTCAGCTGTTTTTGCCTCGGCATCCTCAAGCCTACCCTGTTTTAAGAGCTTCCCGAGAGTGGAAGTTGGAATTGTACGTATAGAATGGATGTGGGTGTTGTATATTTGAACTTGGCCTATGCTTTTTGTTGACTTTGGGAATGGGAATGGGAATGTACCAGTTGGCAGGAGTGATTAGTTAACCTACTAGATAACAGCATTTCAGTTTTATGACTATTCAAGGAATTGGTAGAAAGAATTGTTTCCTTATCCTGAGAGACCACAGGGAGTGGAGATGATTCCTCTCCCTGACTACCGCTTCCATAGTTCCTCTGTTTTGGAGTCTGTACATGTCCAAGACCCTTGGGACAGGAGTATTGATGCTGAGAGTTTGACTTAGTGCTTTGTCACTCCCCACCCTCTAAGGCATTAGAATCTAGTATTTTGTGAGCAAGCAATTTAATCTGATCCACTTTTCAGCCAGTCAGCTTTTCAAGACTAGGTGTCTGTAGAGTTGTATGAGTGAGAAGGTAGATAGGTGGAGGGACAGAGGACTGAATAAGCCTTGTGGATGCCTAATACACAGCCATGGGAGGACCCAGGCTCATATGTTCATCCTGGTGTTTCCCTGCAAGCTGCATGGAGCAGCCTATGGCAAAGGCATCTACCTGAGCCCCATCTCCAGTATTTCCTTTGGATACTCAGGTAAGACATACTCTCTGGCTACCTTGACTCTGTTTACATTTGCATCCATTTGTGAACACATGATCTGTGCTGTCTCCTCTCCCATCCTGGGTATTTGATCTATACCAGCTCTCTCCCTCGTCATGGTTACTTAATCTCTTTCTGCTTTCTCTCGTTAGAAATTTAGATTCTTTCTGCACTAAGGCCAGTTACTGTTAACAAGAGTGGTCTTGTACATTGTAGGGACTTAGCCTTGGAAATGTGTTAAGGAATAACTGGGAAGTGAAACAAGGCCTTTGTAGATCACATTTTGATGTTGGCAATTACAAATTATGTGTGTGTATGTGTGTCTATCTGATTTATGTGTGAAGACACATGAGGGTTTGGGTCCTTGGCATTGGCTTGTACTTCTGGAGACATTGTTCTCTCTGTCAATCACCTTTTAAAATTTTAACGACCTCTAGTCATATACTATTACAATAGTCATGTTGAATGCAAGAGAAAACATTTTATTCCAAAGACATGAATGAGATCTAGAGTCTAGTGAGGGGACGAGTGCAGCATTGTCTAGCTCAGACAAGAAGTCTGACATGGAATTCTCTGTTTTCCAGTGTCTGTCTTTTCAGTCTGCTTTTGTTCTTGTTCAGTGTAGTCTCTGTATAAGGGATGGCTCCCATGATGGTACATGTCTGCTCTATGAAGGCGCTTGTGCTCAGTTCTTTATAGATTATTGTTTAGTACTTTGAAGTAATTGTAGCCATTATAAAGATAATAAACTTATGGCCAGAATCACAGAACTAGAAAACTTTAACAAGCTACGTATGGTGGCACATGCCTGTGATCCCAGCTACTTAGAAGGCTGAAACAGGAGGATGATGAGTTCAAGGTCAGCCTGGGCAACTAAAACCATGTCTTAAAATAAAATACAGGGTTTTTTTGTTTGTTTGGTTGGTTGGTTGGTTTTTAGTGGTACCCAGAGCCTTGTGTTTGCTGTGCAGGCACTCTTCCACTTGAGCAGTGTCCCCAGCCCTTTGAAATAAAATTTAAAAAAATTCAGAAGTAGAATTCTTCCCTAGAGTGTGTGAGGCCCTGGGGTCAATCTCTGGAAACACACACAAAAAAACAAAACAAAACAAAATATCTTCTCTAACAAAGGAGAACAAAGGAGATGATGTTGATAAAAACCAAAAAACCAAAATCATTGAAATAATTCAGATAAAATAGGGTAGGACCAAAACAGCCAAAAGGTGACTCTCCTAAAGGACTAACAAGTCAGGCGCTCATGGTTCATGCCTGTAATCCTAGCTACTTGAGAGGCTGAGATTGGAAGGATCATGGCTTGAGGTTCACAAAACCCTGTCTCAACAGAAAAAGCTGAGCATGGTGGCATGCACCTATCATCCCAGCAATGGTGGGAAACACTGAATAGGATTTTCTGGGCAAAAAGTGAGACCCCCCCCCCGCCAGTCTCCAAAATAACTACAGTGAAAGGGCCAGAAGTGTGGCTCAAGTGGTAGAGGTCTTATTTAACAAATGTGAAGCCCTGAGTTCAAACCCCAGTACTGCAACAACAACAAAAACAAAACACGCACATACATACATACCTGGGTTAGATTAAGAAGAAAGGGACAGAAACAAGTATCGTGGAAAAAAAAAGGCAACATTATCACAAATATGCCAAAATTTTATTATTTATTTATTTGGTAGTGGGACTTGAATTCATGGCTAGACAGGCACCAATATGCCAGAATTTTAAAAGCTAATAAAAAAACTAAATTTCATGCCAATGATTTGAAAACTTTGACAAAGGTCATAGAAAAATATATCTTAATAGAAAAAATTTTAAAAACCTTCAAATGAAATTAAAAACCTGATGGCCATAAAAACTGTAAAGGAAATTGAAATTGTTTAAAAATTGTCCACAAACAAAACAAACCAACCAAACCCAGATAGTATTTTTTATTTTTGTTTGTTGGTGCTGGGGATAGAACCAGGGTCTGGAGCAGGCTAGGCCAACACTCTGCCACTGTGCATTCCTAAGCCTGCAGGTTGTTTTATAAGTGAGTCTCAGACTTTCAGCAAGCAAGTTGCTTACAGAATCCTCTAGGGAGTAGAAAAAGATGGAATTAGAAATCATAAAAATTGGTAAATTTGACTATTGAAACCAAAAACCTCCATGCAAGCCAGGCAACGTGGCTCATGCCTGTAATCTTACTCAGGAGGCAGACATCAGGAAGATCACAGTTTGAGTTTGAGATCAGTTTTGGCACAGTTCACAAGACCCCATCTCAACCAAAAAAGCTTGGTTATGGTGGCATGTGCTGTCATCCCAGCTAACAGGAAGTGTAAATAGGAGGATTGTGGTCCAGGCAGGCCAAGGCATAAATGTGAAATCCTATTAGAAAAATAGCTAAAGCAAAAAAGGCAGGGGTATTGCTGAATGGGTGGAGTGCCTACCTAACAATCTTAAGGCTCTGAGTTCAAATCCCAGTATCAACCCCGCCCCGCAACCCCCCCAAAAAAGACCAGAAACCCTCCATTCATCAGAAAACACCTTAAAGAAAGTGGAAAGAGCCAGGTGGCTCAAGCCTGTAATCCTAGCCACTCAATAGGCTCAGAGGATCAGGGCAAGTTTGTAAGACTCATCTTAACCAATAATGGAGGGGCTTGGTGGTGTACATCTGTCATCCCAACTATGTGGCCAGTCTGGGCATAAAATGAGACCCTATCTCAAAAAAATGAAAAAATTTTAAGAAAAGTAAAAAGGGCTGGGGACTGTGGCTCAAGTGGTAGAGCACCTGCCTTGTAAGTACGAGGTCCTGAGTTCAAACCCTAATACTGTCAAAAAAATTGAAAAAATTGTAAAGATGGAAAGACAAGCTACAAACCAGGAAAAGACACTTGCATCACATATAACCACAAAAGATTAGAATAAAAATGTGTTAATTAATAAGAAAAAGATGCCTATTGAAAAAACAGGCAAATGACATTTCACTGAGGAAATCACCAAAATATGAAAAGTTGCTCAATCTGTAGAGGGAAGTGAAATCAAAACCAAAGTGATTATCATTTAGTGCAGTCTCTGTGTGGATTGGCAAAAATTAAGAAATCTGAAGGGCTTGAATATGTGCTTTCCTACTACCATGTGCAAGGCTCTGGGTTCCATCCCTAGCACCAAAAAGGGAGGGAAAAAAAAGATGTAATAGATAGACAAAAATTGTACATATTTAGCTGTGTGTGGTGATGAACACCTATAAACCCAGCACATGGGAGTCTGAAGCAGGAGGATTGTAAGTCCGAGGCCAGCCTGGACTATGTAGTGAGATCCTATCTTAAAGAAGAAAGACATCTGATCCTACCTCTGATTGTACCAAATGTTGTAAGTTAGCACAATCTCCTTTGCTGCCTGTGGGGATAAAATTGGTATAACAATGGAAGAACAATTTGAAGTTCTTTCCTAAAGCTGGAGTTTATCATGTGACCCACCACTTTGATTCCTGTACATGGACATTCAGAGATGTGCACAGAAATGATCACAGAGAGACTGCTTGCAATAGCAGCTCCCTGGAAGCACCTTAGAAGCTCCTCATGAGAATAATGGATTATACATTTTGATGCAGTCTCGCAATTCAGCAGTGAAAATGAACATCAGTGATATGCAATAACATAGAAAAATTTCGTAAGATCGTTGACTATAAAAAGGAAAGTTCCAGAAGACTATAAACTGTATGCCTTTCTTATATTATTCAAAAGCAAACAAAAATACTGTTATAGGGTGTGTGTTTGTGGTAAAACTAAATAAAAAAGAAAAAAAATACAAAGGACTAATAACCCTGAGCTGAGAATGCAGGCCAGTGGTAGAGCACATGAGGCCTGGGCTCAAGTTTCAGCAAAATAATAGCCCAGATTTCAGGGCCCTTTTAGATATGTCACTTTGACTCGTAATTGGATTTAATCTCTAGGTATTTATTGTCCTATTTTAAAATGGTAATGCATCATGAAATAAACGTTAGGATTAATCCATACAGGGCATTGCCCAGGACGCTTTCTGGATGTGCGAATGAATCTTACTCTGTTTCATGTCCAAGGAGTGAGAATGTCTTCTGGAAAGTTTTGTTTTTTCAAGATTCCTCAGTTTTTAATCTTTGCGCCAGTCTGACCAGTCCTGTGATTAAGCTCTTATTTCCCAAGTAAAGAGATTCTCCTGGCTTTTCATGTCATAAGACCTGTCCTTCATACTGCCCCCCTGAATTCCCTCCCTTTCCTTCTCCCTACCAGCCTTTGTTCACACTGAGTGCCGAGTACCCTTAGCAACCAGATGGAGTACCCTTAGCAACCAGATGGAGCCAATTTGCCGATGACATAAAAACATCATAGGACACTGTCCCTCTCCCTCACAGGGTGATAATTACAGACCCAAACTATGGTATGATTTTTATGATTGGAGTTACAGATCATCTAGTTCATTTCCTTACTACTTTACAAATAAGAAAGCCAGTGCACAAAATGTTAAATGACTTTCTCAAGGTCACAATGCTGTGAGTTAATGGAGGTAGGACTGGAGTCCAGTCTCCTCCTAACTTCCAGGCCAGAATCTCTGTGTAACATTGGGTGGGATGTGCCCAAATGTCCCACTCACTGTAGTTACTCTGGCATTTGACCAGCTATCTTTTTTTTTCTTTCTTTTTCTTTTTGCGGGATTGAGGCTTGAACTCGGGGCCTTCACCTTGAACCACTCCACCAGTCCTCTTTTTGTGAAGAGTTTTTCAAGATAGTGTCTTGAGAACTATTTGCCTTGGCTGGCTTCGAACCGCAATCCTCTTGCTCTCTGCCTCCTGAGTAGCTAGGATTACAGGTGTGAGCCACCCACCGGTATCCAGTGCCCAGCTATCTTTAATGTTACCTTTTGTACTAGTCTGCTCTGGTTTTCAGGTTTTCCTTAGGGTAACTTTAGCTTGGTCAGTGTAAATAGAGAGCATCCATTTGACCAGTGGAGCCACTGATGACTTAGCCAAAGTACGCCAGTCGAAATGAGAGATGTTGAGAAAGGAGTTGGTGAATTCCATCTGTTTTGTTTAGTCCTGCTTAGAGACTCCTAACTGGATATAAAGTATCCAGAAATTTCTTACAACCACCATGTTCTCAGGGTCCAAGGACATGACAGAAAGGTCAGCATGGATAGGACAGCGTAGCAGGATTGTGACGGAACGAGAATGAGATTTGAGTTATGTCACAAGTGCCATCTCTTAAGACCCACCACAGAAATCAGATTATTCTTTTTCTCCTGTCTGCCACTCTGGAGTAGAACCCAAGTGGGAATTTCTCTTTCAATCTTGTCATTGAAATACCCTTACTGAGAAGGTCCTGATGTTTGAATGCAGAGCTGAACCTTGTAAAAGATGATGGAAAAGGTGGAAACAGGGCTGTGGAGTGTCTGTCCCATAAGAGGAAGGAGTTGACGGCTCATGCTGAGAGGCTGTCATTGCCCTGCGTTTTGTTTAGGTCATGAATCTGCATGAGACTTCAGTGTGCGTGCAGGATGAGTTGACAGTCTGGACAGTGAAGAATGTCAGTCTGATGGTTATCACCCCTACCTCTACAGTAAGGCTATCACAAAATCAAGAATTGAAGCAACATGGAGCTAGTAATAGAAGGTTTTGGGGGTAGAATAGTGAGACAGGCGATCTCTCTCTGGGTCACAAACTGATAAGCTAAGCCTGTGATAAAGCTCAATAGAGACTGAAGCCCTTGGGCCACAAAGAATTGGGAGTTAGGGACTGTTCGATATCTAAAGAAAAATCCAGACAAGTCTATAAATATTAATAACGGGCTCTGCAGCACATGGGGTAAAGATGACTTAGATAAGGTGGACATTATCAAAGACTTTCTAAAGGAAGTCTTTCTAAAGGAGGTAGGATTCCTGATTGCTGTGGAGAATTATTTGTCACAGAAGTGCTCTGCTTTCTTCTTTTCTCCCAAATGACTGGTCAAACTCTTATATGTAACCTCAAGACTAGAGCATATCTGACTTGCTCTGCTTGCCTTCTCTCAGCCTGTCATGTGATCCCTAGGTATAGACGTCTCTTCCTGGCTCATATCACCTGTCACTCCCCTATGTTAGAATCATTCGTGGTCCCCTGCTGTTCTAAGGCTAAACTCTAGTTCCCTTAACATATCCTACAAGGCCTGCTTGATCTGATGGTCCTAACTTGCTTCCTTTACATTATTTCTTGACACTCCTCTGTACTGTGTACTGTGTACATTCAAGCTTTCTATATTCTACTACTTCTGCCTACTTCCCCTCTTTCTGTTAACTAACTTTTCTATCACGAAGCTCGGAAACCTTGCCGCATCTGGTTGCCTTCTTCAGACTCCTGGCTCATTCCCTCCTCTGGTTCACACAGTGCTCTATAATCTCCTTTTTGTGACCCTTACCATACTATGTTGTAATTACCTGTTCCTTGTCTATAATCTGCCCGCACAGACTAAATTCTGTGCGGGCAGATATTTTGTTTGTCATATCTACTACTCTATTGCCAAGTGTCTCTAGTTCAGTGTCTAGCACATAGTGGACACTTCAGTAAAATATTTGATTAAGAAATGGCTGAATGAACTGAATTTGTTGTCCTGTGACAGGAATGGGAAAAGGACAGCACAGGATGCCCTCTAAGGATGAACTGGTCCAGAGATACAACAGGATGAATACCATCCCACAGGTATTATGTGTTGGCCCTGCTTTTAGGCAGTGCCCTTCCTTGGGGACTAGTTCAGGCTACAAAGATGGGTGGAGAAACAGTGGGGCTGGGGGGATTTGTGGATCATTTAAGGGAATCAGATTTGTCCTAAGATGAACACACTTCCAAAGTCATATGTGGTCTCATAAAATATGAAAGCAGAGACTGAATGTAGATGAAAATGTAAAGATGGAAGCTGTGGTGCCATCAAGCTGATATGGGCAAGCAAATGTTTGGAGGGTATCTGGGAGATTAGGAGATCCCTGATTCCCACCCCCATCATCACCAGCTAACCAGCCTTTTTAGAGAAAGCTCTAATAGTCTAGTCTGTCTGACTCTGCTCTCCTTTGCTTCCTTCTCTTTCAGACCCGATCCATTCAGTCAAGGTTCCTGCAGAGTCGGAATCTAAACTGTATAGCACTTTGTGAAGGTGGGTAGCTCATCAATTCCCTGTTCTTTTGGGATCCCCAACCTTTATTTCTGATGCATCTTTGACACAGAATGTTCAAGCATCATGTCTTTCCTCCCCTGCCTGGACTCTGTGTCTTCAGCATTATATCTGTGTCCCCTCCACCCCAGTGATCACATCTAAGGACCTCCAGAAGCATGGGAACATCTGGGTGTGCCCTGTGTCCGACCATGTCTGCACACGGTTCTTCTTTGTGTAAGTCTAAGAGGTACCCTGGGGATTACTTGAGGAGTGAGGGGAGTGGTGTGTGACTATTGGAATAGGCCGTTGCTGTTAGTTGAGCTGTGACCCTGCTGTCTGAGTAGAGCTGGCACTGGGACTTCCTTCTTGGAGGGTGAAGATGAGATCAGATCATTGGAATCTGTTTAGAGGAAACCAGATAAGCTAGTCCCATCCACCATGAGAACAGCAAGAAAGGCTTTGACTTTTGGGATGTGGTGGCCACATCTAAAATTAAGTTTGACTGGTTGACATTACTCTGGTGGTGGTGTCCCTCTGTGCTTATGCTTGCCCTGTCTTTGGCAGATATGAGGATGGTCAGGTGGGCGATGCCAACATTAATACTCAGGACCCCAAGATACAGAAGGAAATCATGCGTGTGATCGGAACTCAGGTTTACACAAACTGAGGGGGCCCCAGCCCTCGTGCCACCCTGTTCCCCCAGGATCCATCTGCCCTCATAAAAGGGCTCAGGAGCAGCAGGTGAGACTGCCCTGAGGAATCAAGGGGCCATTACCAAGGGGCAGGAAAAGGATAGAAGAGGCGGCCTTCATGGTGGAGACTGACCAGGATCCACTCCACATTTGGATGGCCCAGACTGACTCCAACCCTTGATTTGCCCAGTTGTCTTCACCCTGTTTGTAAATAAAACAATAAAATGGAAGGTGCTGTGGACTGGATATGATCACTGTGGTCTGACTAGCCTTGGTCCAGCACCTATCCGAAGGCCCCTGATGTGGGTGGGGTGGGGGTGGTGTGTCCTGAGAATTGGGACTGTTTGTGCTGCATGGAGTCAAAGCTGAGTCCATTTAGTGTTGTATTCTACAAGTCTGCCAGTATTTTTATCAAAAGAGTGGATAAAGCAAGGAAATGGATCACTAATGAAGATGAAACAAACTGGGAATAAAGAGACCAGGAATGACTTTAGTTGAGATTGAAAAGGGCCTTTGAGGCCAGAGTAACTGATGCACAGACCCTGCCCAGTCACCTTTGCTCTCTGTCTCAGTCTGGGCCCCTGTTCTCTTCCTCCTCTGAGTTTTTTCCTTGGGACAAGTGAAGTAAGTGGAGAGGTGGCAGGTGCAGAAGTTGGGTTGATCTCTATGTTGAAATCCTTAAAGAAAAGCCAGCTGAGATTAGTAGTGGGACTGTCCATGGGGGGCACACTAGAACTCACTGAAAGAGTTAAGTGTTCTGAGACCACCGCCTTCCTTCACAACTTGGCTAACCTTGGAGATTTGGGGTTTTGTTTCATTAAGGGAGACTGCTGGCCTTTCAGGTTGTATTCCCAAATCCTTGGTTAGTTCTAAGCAGAGCTGAAATATGTTCAACATTTCAAAT